CCAGTTCCAATGGGATGAGCCAGGTACCTCAGTTGGAAATGCATCAGCCATCTTGCCAGTCACCTCTGAGTTATTCTTTGACAAGCGGTAATGAAGCACACTTTCAAATCCTGGGATACTATACTATCCCTTGCTTTCCTAGATCCTGCAAAAACCTTCATAAATACTTCACTTATTAAAGCTCCTCAAATTATCCTATTTTGAATGTATCATGTTTTTTCTTCTGGGAACCTAACAGATGCAACATTTTATATGCATTAATGCATCTAATCTTCTCAACATGTTATCCTCATTTTACAGATTTAAAAAACTGAGGCACAGAAATTTCAAGTAACTTAAAAAAAGTACAACAGCTAGAAAAAAAACAGAATTTGAATTTGTATCCCAAAGACTCTAACTCTACCATACATGCTCTTTAATTCTACACTAGATTATTTCAGGAACTAAAGAAACAGAGCTCTCTACTAAGCCTACCATCAAACCAAAGCCTAACAACAAAAATTCTGTGGTTCTGTATCCTCTAGAAATTTTGCAGGCCATAATAGAACAGGTGAATCAGCAAAACTTCTACTATCTTTGTAATAAAAGTGAAATGCTCACATTTAATCTTTTCATTAGATTCCTTCAATAACTTTAATTTCTCACCCTCTTTTCCCCAAGCATTTTGTTCTCTCAATTACCTTGCTGCAAATTTCTACATTTATTCTTTTAAATTACTTTCAAATCACAATATACTAAATATCTCCATTATTGTAAACCCTGAGTAGAACCTAAACTGAATGAGGAAAGGTCTTTTTGCCTGTGCACTGCTATATTCCCAGCTTTTACATGTCTATTGTATAGTAGAAACATAAAAAATTATTGATTAAATCAATACTTCTTTATCTACTATATTCTTTTTTCAAGGAATTATATATTTGTGTTTTCATTGTGTTTGTGTTTATACATTATTGCTCCATCAAAAAGGCAAGGTCATGAGCCATTTTCCCCAGAGTTCTGGGGAGTGATCATTTTTAAAGCCCACGCTTTCTAACAGATTTCTGGTATCTGATGATTCTCACAAACTCATACCTTTGAATCCCCTAAGGAAGTGAGTTTTCAGAGCCACAGTATCAATTTCTCTACCATTTATTTATTTTAAAAAAATTCCAGTTGAAAATATTTTTCCTTAAACAAATGAAACACTAAATATAAAATGAAAGTCCCATTTAGTCAACCTACTGCATGCTAGTCTCCATTCCAGGGATAATTACCATTAACGATTTGTTTATATCCTTCTTGCCCTAGTCTTCTGTGTTTTTACAAGCATATATTATATAATTTTCTTTTCACTAAAATGTCTAAGGGGTATTTTCTTGTTTTTGCTTTTTACAGCATTGTGTACTACATTGTGTATTCCATGGCACAAAGGTAACTTAAAAAAAATTATCTTCCTGTTTATGAACATTTACATAAGTTCTAAATATCTTGCTACCAAAAATAAAGATGCAAAGAATATCCATCTACAAACTTTGTCCATAAGTGTGTTTCCAGAAATTGCAGAAATTTAAGCAGCATTAAAATTTCAGGATTGAATGCTATAGTTAATATCATTTTTAAAAGATAAAATACATGTGTATGAGAGGATTTATTTCCTCACACTGTTGTTAACAGAAAATAGCAATCTAAAAGGTTGCCCATTTAACAGGCAAAAATGGTATTCTATTATTTTACTTTTCCCTTGTTGCTAAAAACATTAATATTTTTTCATGTCTTTCAGTAGAGATGGGGTTTTACCATGTCGGCCAGGCTGGTCTCGAACTCCCGACCTCAGGTGATCCACGCACCTTGGCCTCCCACAGTGCTGGGATTACAGGTGTGAGTCACTGCACTCAGCCCAGATGACATTTTGATGAGACTTTGGGCTTTAAACTTTTGAGTTAATGCCAAAATGTCTTAAGACTTTTGGAGTTATTAGAATCAAATGAATTTTTTTTTGCATATGAGAAGAACATAAATTTTGGGAAGCAGGATCAGAATGTTATGGTCTGAATTTTTGTGTATCCCCAAATTCATATGTTGAAATCTAATCCCCAAGGTGATGGTAATTAAGAGTTGGGGACTTGGGAAGGTGCTTAGACCTTCGGGAAGCCTATGCCATTATGAATGGAATTCACTTTCTCATAAAAGAGGTCTGAGGGAGTTTGTTCACCCTTCTGCCAAGTGCAAACACAGCAAGAAGGTGCTACCTTTGAAGCAGAGAGCAAATCCTCACCAGACACTGAATCTGCTGAGACCTTAATTTTGGACTTTCTAGCCTCCAGAACTGTGAATAATATATCTTGGTTCTTACAAATTACCCATTTATAAGACATTTTGTTAAGCAGCCCAAATGGACTAAGTCAATTCTCTTGTTTTTATCTCAAAGGCAAAGCTTCTAACATTTCACCATCAAGCATATTTGCTAAAATGTATCAAATAAAGAAAAATTTCTTCTCATTTTAGGCATTAGTTTCTTTTGACATCATAAATGGATATTTATCAGAGGTTTTTGTTTTTTGCATTCCTGATAATCATATGGTTTTTCTACTTTATTCATTATTCATTTAAAATGTGTAAAAACCTTGAATTCCTGGTGTAAACCAAACTTGTTTATGATATTTTCTCTTTTTTAATTGCTAGATTTATCTATATTTTGGTAGAGATTTTAAATCTATGTTTATAAATAATATAGACTTACAACTTTCTCTTTTTGTAATGACCTTTTCAAGCTTTTGCATTAAGTTATATTGGCCTCATAAAATGAGATGAACATGATTTCATCTTAAATAATTCTCAGGAACATTTAACATAATACTTGTATGATTTATTTCTTTAACACTTGGTGGAATTTACTCTAGCAGCCACATGAAATAGGATTTTTTTGGCAGTGGAGGCTCTCTATGAGATAGATATTCAAGTTGTCATTTTCATACAAATGTAAATTATTCAGAAGCTTTGTAATTACTTTCACTTCCACAGTTCCCTTATGTGGAAAATGTGTTCTTTATCAGGTCTATTCTAACAACCTTCATCTTCTGAACCAGGTGACACATATTTATAGTCTCTGAATTCTGAAGCCCCTTTGTCTTTACAGGTCAATCTGTAGAGAAGGGAACTCAGAAAATGGCTTGAGCTCAGTTATCTTTCATGGTAATTACTTGGGCTAGAGAATAATCATATATTCTTACCATATCAAGTAATGAAACAATAGACTGTCCCACAGTCCATTCTTCCTCTCCCTTCAGCCACCAACTGTTGTCGCCAGCTTTCCCATCAAGTAATATTCTAGTCCAGAAGCAGGCACTCAACACTCTATGTTCACATATATTCTCCATAACCCCCTAAAGAAAACTCTAGGTACACAAAGATAAGACTTTTTTCCATGTACTGCTTACTGATGGTTTCAAGGCATTCTCTTGGAGCTTATAAGACTGAGCTTAGGAAGTACAGAAATAGAAGTGAAATATATAAAGGAATGTATTCTTTGTTAAAAGATTCCAAATAAGCATAGAAAGATGAAGTATTCAGGAAATGGTACTGGCACAATTCTTAGTCATCAGGAAAAAATATAATTTAAAACTTATTTCATAATATATATTTAAATAAATTCCAGATCGATTAAAGTTTTAAATATATAAAAGAAACAAAAAGCATATTAGAAGGAACATAATAATTTTTTGTTTTTATTATATTTTTATTATTATGTTGAAGACAGGAAGGACTTTTAAAATATGACACAAATTCAGAGCCATAAAAGATAACAAAAAATAGAGTTGAAAAAAATTCTCTAAAGTAGAAACCATCTTAAAGTCATAAAGCAAACAAAAGCAGGAAAGATCATTGCAAATTACATTAAAGAGAAAGCTAACTTCTCTAATATGTAAACAGTTTTCATAAGTCTCTATGAGGAAGGTCAGCAACTTTATAGACAAACGGACAAAGAATAGAAACAGAATGTCACAAAACAGGAAAAGATGTTCAATTTCACTTAAGGTATAAGAAAATTTTTACTGATATTATAATACTCTGAATGAACTGACCAGGATGGAAAGTTTGATTAAATGTTGTTGTTAAAAATGTGGTAGGAAAGTGGACATTCTAAACATTGCTGTTGGGAGTATAGTTTGACACAACCTCTATGCAGGGCTACAGTCCAGGAATAAGGATTAACTGAAATTAAATTGCACATTAATGGGAATAAAATCCAACTTTCAAAAATCTGATGTCTGCTTGAATTATGTTGTTCTGACCCTTCAATATTTTCTTAACCCAGACTGTCAGAAGAAATGCAGGTACTTTCTTGAGGAAAATATCATCTAAAATCTCAAATTATAATGTTAATTTCTCAATTAAAACAACCAGAAACACCTAAGATAAAAACCAAACAAACTGGCATACATGAACATAATATAATCCAAAACTAAGAAATGTTATATAGACTAGATACCAAATATGGAAGTATCAAACACATACTTAAAGTAACACATTTTTAAAGGCATACATTCAATATGTTGAAAGAAATAAAAGAGTGATAATTTAGGAAGAGAACAGGATGTTTAAAAATAATAAAATGAAAGGTCTAGAACTGAAAAATAAAATAGCTGAAATTGAACTTCATTGGTGGATCTACCATCAGATTAGACACAGTTAAAGAGGGAGTCAGTGAACTCTAAAGGATAAGTCAAAAGTATCCAAAATGAATTATAAAAAGAAAAAAGACAGAATATAAAAACAATAAATTATAAGTGTAATAAAATCCTAACAATCCCCTACTAACATCAAAATTGGGAACACTATCACAGGTTTGACTTCAAGAAAGAACAAAAAACCACAAAGTAAATTTAAATTTTTTTCTCATATATTGTTTAATAAAAATCCAAGTAAGGGCTTCTTTTCATTATTAGAACTTAAGGAACAACTGAAAAAAATCAAACATATTAGCTAAATAACACAAATCAGAAAAAAGTTTAATTACTTACATTCCATATGCTGAGCTTACAGCAAGACTAGTAATCTGTTGTGGAGGTTCACCGTCTACCCATACCAATTGAATAACAAGTTCTGCTTGATATCCTGGAGGCATCCTCACTGGCCGTGTCTTAACACTTTAAAAGCAAAAACAATTCTGTTATATAGAGTTTAAATAAACATAGCCAATAATTATCTTGAGAATTTACATAGAATCATGCTACAGAAATATACAACACCAGGTATTGCAGGCACATGTAGAAGGAGGTGACTTCTAGCTTTCTCAAAATACACTGAGCCACTTATTATTGCTTAGTTACTTCTTTAAGTGGACTTCCAGTCAGTTAGGTTCACAACTTTAACTGGCCTTTATCACTCCAATGTTTTTCTTTTGAGATTCTTTTATTTTTATTATGTAATTATTTTTCTAATATATTTTACATATATGTCAGTTATAAAGCATAACCGTAAAACAAATGACAAATAACCTACCACCCGATTTAAGAATTCAACATATCTAGCATCTGAATTTCTATTTTCCTTTAAAGCTGTTTCACTGGTAGCCTTCTTTATTCCAACTGATAGCAACTCTTATCTTTTCAGTTACTGAGTTAAAAAATCTTAAAGTTCTTCTTGACTGATATCCTTTTCTCATACTTCACAACCAACCAATTATCAAATACTATTGATGCTCCTTTCAAAAATATATCCATTAGGTAAAATTTTATGATGATGTTTCCTCTTTGTAGATTTTCCTCCAAGTAATATTTGCTTATTTTACTTCTTTTCATGTACTTCAATAGAAAAGTTTTGAAAGGACAATCAATGATTACAAAAGTATAGCATCTGCTAATTGTGTGGAGGATTTTGCTCCTAAAATCTTATCTCTAAGTTGTCCATCAGCATATTTGTAAGAAATGAGTAAACTAGCTGTCTAAAGTTTTGTGTGTGGCAAATGTAGATATGCAGCTCAAAGAAATTCCCTGTTTAGGTTTAATTCTCCAGCCAGCTAACACTAGAAACATTTGGTTTGATGGTATAGAAGCAGGAAATAGTAATTTATACTCTATTACTAAAAATCATAAAAACAATAAAATATTACTATGGGATTTCTTAACTTTAGGTTTTATTTAACATGATGCAAATCTTTGTTTAGTTTATTAACAAACAACAGTTTTAAAAAGAAAGTTTGTACAATACACTAGCAATCAGGAGAGAAATTCTTTTTTCTAATATAATATTCTTGTAGTAGATAGTAAATGATTTTCTTTTTGATTCCAGGAAAGATAAAAAAATTACATAAACATACTTTTTAAAAAATCATTATTATTTTTTTGAAGACATGGTCTTGCTGTTGTTACCCAGGCTGGAATGCAGTGGCAAGACCATAGCTCACTGCAACCTTAAACTCCTGGGCTAAAGTGATTCTCCCACCTCAGCTTCCCTACTAGCTGAGACTACAGGCATGTGTCATCATATCCAGCTAATTTTTTAATTTTTGTAGTGACGGGGTCTTGCTATGTTGCACAGGCTGGTCTCGAACTCCTAGCCTCAAGCATTCCTCCCACCTCAACCTCCCAAAGGGTTGGGAATACAGGCGTGAGCCATCACGCTCCATAAACACCCTTTTTCATTTGGAAGGTATCAAGCAAGTGGCCAAGTTTCTGCCCTGCTAAACTTCCCATTCTAACAAAGCCATGTTTTCTTTAGTGTCCTTCTGGGAAGGAAATATATAAATAAGTAAATGAAGGATGAAAATAATTTGCCCTCTTCATAGATATTCAAAGAAAAGACCAGGGTAACCCCTGGAGAATTGTAGATCACTTGACAACAACTTAATAATTAGAGAAAATTAATTTTATTTGTCACAGTTTCAAAGACTGATACGAGTAACAGGTAAAATTGTTTTAAAATTTGGTAGCAACTCTTACTTGAGGCATGGGATACTGTCCTTTGTTACTCCTTCACTAGCAACAGTGTTAGTGCTCCCGGAAAGACTCCTTGAAGAAGGAAGCTGGGCTGAAAGATCTGGAAATGGAGGACTTGTTTCTGGTTCGGGGGTAATAATATCTTCAACATCATACTGAAGTCGTACCTCTAATGACTTAAAAAATCAAGTTTAAATTTAATCTAAGTTACAATAATAATCATCAAGTTTTAATTTAATCTAAGTCATAATAAATAATAACATTAAAATACTTGATAACTTTTTAGGAATCATTCACACAGTTTTTTTCAAATTAATAAGTTCAATTTCAATTTATAGTAAAGTTGAGAAGTATCTCATGCTAAGTCAAGTAGTTAATTATATGGACTATTCAATGGCAATCACAGAAATGTAAATTTTTAAACTTCAGAATTAAAAGAAAAATACCTCAGTGAAGATAAAGTTTTTATGTAATAAATATACTTTAAGATACAGTATAAATTACAATTTGGCATACAATAACAAAAGGAGAAATTGGTTATGGTTATTCCAATGACAGAAATTAAACTCTTTTCATATACACACACAAATATGTATGTGTGTGTAGAGTGTGTGTGTGTGTGTGTGTGTGTATGAAAAAAATTGCTTGTTTAAAGCCTTTTATTATAAAAATTTTCCAAAAGAAATTCCATATTTTTGGTTGTTTGTTTTATTACCTTGGTTCTTGTTTAGCTAGATCAGAATTACTTATAAAAAGGACATAATAATTTACCTAGGAATAAAGAGATGCCCTAAAACCCTTTTTTAAACTAAAAAAGTTTTAAAACGAAGTACTTTATGACTGCATTAAGTGCATTAAATGATTTAATTAGAACTGATTTTATAAAATATATTTGCTTTATAATGTAAAAATGAGCATTTTTGAGATTGAAAATAATTACTTACAAAAATGTCATTATGGGAATATTATCAAAATTATTGTCATAATTATTTTAAAACTACAGAAAAACCTCTAGTGGTGGCAATACAGTTACCAATTATTGAGTGCTTACTACAGTAAGGACACTATTATAATGTCTTTATACAATCATTATAAGAACCCTATGAAATTGGTATTTGTATTTCAAGTTTATTTTTATTTTTCATTTTTATTTACACAGGGGATTATACACATGATGAAACTGAATCATAGCCACATTCTACTATTGACTTATGGCTTGCTCAGAGTCACACAGATACTTAATGGGAAAGCCAGAATTAAAACCTAGGTTTATCTGACTCCAATGCCTGGCCTTTTAGCTACTATGCAATAGAAGGGTAATACTAATTTTAGTTGTTGAGGGAAAAACACTTATACACATTTCTATAGTAAATAATCTTTATCTTCTGGTAAAATAGGCAAGGTAGAGAAGAACAATTATTTACAGGTGGCTTCATTTATAATTAATTTATCCTATAAATATCATCATTATTTTGAATAAGCAGAGTATTTCCTTGATTTAAAAATTAAGATTTAGGTAAGACTGCCCCATAATTAAATCCACCCCATAAAAATGTTGCTACATAGAAAATGATTAAAAATAACCTTATTGTAGCTGAGAAATAATAATTTATGGCAAACAGTTGAGAAAATGAAAATCAGATGAACTTAAAAATTAATTAAAGTCTAGAACAAAGCCTGCATTAATTTGATTTTTATACATAAAATAAATCAGTAACTATATGTACAAAACCTATATATTTTATTGGTATATAGAGAAGAATATATAGGTATATATTCTACAATATATATGTATTTCAAAACATCATGTTGTAGAGTTGACTTATTTTGACCAGGTAGATGCAACTCACATAACATAAAAAAGAAAAATGAGAAAATTGTGACATGTTTAATTTGTAGCAAGATTAACTTAAAACTAAGCTTGTTTTGATATTGAAAAAAATACCAAGTTTTGATAGAGAACTGTTTTGGCCTTTTAAGCCAAGCCATTTATTAATATGTTACAGTAAGTAATAATAGTAATTTAAAATCCTATGAATTTTATTACTGGCCACATACTGCACACTTGATGAAAACCATACCAAGTAGTCAAATCTATGATGGTGGCTTTCTTTTAATAACAGTAAGTGTGAAAGTTAAATTTTAAATAACTTACCACTATTTCTGTTGTAATTTCATATCTGCTGAATCTATAAATTATGACATATGCAGAGACTCCTGATACACAGAATATTCTGCTCTCTGGACACCAGTAAATCATCTGAATGGCAAATGGATCTTCCTCTACAATTTCACATGTTTGTTTTCCTTCTCCTACCTTCTGTTTTTCAAACACTTTTGAAGTTTTTAGCTTGTACAGCATCTGCAGAGTTACTATAAGACATTGAAGCACAGTTATCTTTTAATTTAAACTTATTAGATATTATTAAAGCTTTTCCAAATATATTTGCTAAACCACAAAAGTAAACCTAAGTAGATAAAGTGAATTATATTTTAACTAGTAAGCATTCAATGCCATGCTTTCATATCAGTACAGTAGCTAAGGGGAGAGCACAGGGAAAGAATAAACATTCCTTGAATACACTATATACCAGGGAATATATAGTGGCTTTCTTGTATATGTCTCAGAAAAGTCTCATGTAGAAAGTATTTTTATCATCATTTACATAAAAATATTGGGGCTCAGAAAGTCTAAAATGGGAATACTGAAAATAATTCTTTCCTAGAGGAGACTCCCCCATGCTTTATCTCAATTTTCCCCTTTGATTGCTAGAGAGGGTGATGATATTCCTAGAGGGTTTACTCCTCTCAACAAATTTTTAGACATTCCTTAAGAAACATTGTAATTTACCAGTTAGCAATACTGGGAGTCCAAGAATCCGTAACTATTTGAAAAGGAATCTTTTCTGAGTGGCTCTATGTCAAGAAGGGTCAGATATAATATCATAAACTGTGTTTGTGAACTGTTTTCAAGAATATTTGGGGGAATATTTTTCCATTAGAGACCATGGTGATAACTCTCTGTAAAAGACCTATGATTCTACAAATAATCCTTTGGTAAAATTTTAAATATCAGTAGTTCTGAGAAAAGTGCATAATCTGAATCTAATAATGAGAAACATTAGTCAAACCAGACTGAAGGAGATTCTATAAAATAACTGGCCTGAACTCCTTAAGAATGTCAATGTCATAAAATGAAGACTCAGGAACTTTTTTAGATTTTTTTAAAACTAAGGAGACATGATGACTAAATGCAGCAAATGATCCTGGATTTGTTTTTGTTGTAAAAACTATTAATTTGTAAAAGCTGAATAAAATCCAGAGATTAGATAATAGTGTTGTGTCAGTGTAATCTCCTGGTTTTGATGACTATATCTGGTTATGTAAGCGAATGCCTTTGTTTGTAGGAAATACACAGTGAAGTATTTAGGGGTATGTAATGTTGGATGAACATTGTGTCTCCAATTTACTCTCAAATGGTTAAGTAAAAAAGCTTTATGTATATATGTACACGTGTGTGAGAGCAAAATGTACGGAGGGAAGAGAGAAAGAGTAAGAGAGATAGGGAGAGGGACGGAACAAATGTAGTATACACTGATATTTGGAGAATCTGGTTGAGAGGTATAAAACATTTCATAATCTCTTTTTTTTTGCATTTTTGTAAGCTTGAAATTATGTCAAACTAAAATAGTTTTTTATTTTTATTTATTTATTTTTTAATGCACAAGGGATTGTACTGGGTGCTATAGCCTGGCTTCTGAGGTCAGATAGGGTATCATTCCTATGATTATTTTTGTTACATGACAACAGTAAAATGATATTGCAGACATCATTAAGGTTCCTAATTAGTTGACTTTGAGCTAATCAACAAAGAGGTTATTTTTAACAAGTCTAACCTAATCAGATGAACCCCTTAAAAGAGGAACTGAGGCCCACCCTGAAGATTACCTTCTGGGAGAGACACTCTCTCTTGCTAGCTTTGAAGCAGCAAGCCACCATGAGCTCTGAATGTGCAAGAAAATGAAGTCTGCCAACAATCACATAAGCTTGGAAGAGAACTTTGAGTCTCATGAAACCGCAGCCCTAGCCAATACTTTAATTACAGTCTTGTGAGACCCTGAGCAGAGGACCTAGCTAAGGTATAATCACAATCATAACATGCAGAAACTGAGATAATAAATGGGTATTGTTTTAAGCTGTTAAATTGCGGTAATTTATTATTCAGCAATAGCAAACTAAGATACATGGTAATATAAACTCAGTTACTCAAATTCACTTTGCTTTATATATTAGACAATGTTTCACAGTTAGCAAACTAAGTGATTTTTTTAGACATCCATTAAGTTGGAGATATAACCTTGACTACGGTAAAAATATTAAACATGCTGTGATCCTTTGCAATTTATATTCTGAATGTGATAAAATATTTACAAAGTAACTTCTCAAAATATTATTATGCATATTTAAGGGTGTTATGCACTCTAATAATTAAAGTGTTAAAGTGTTCTCCACATTTTAAAAGCCAGAAAATGATTTTTGAGGTGGTGGGAAAGGAGCAATGACATCACTATGCAATGAATTTTGTTCCAGGAACAAACTCAGGTTTGCATGAAACGATTCATCAACAGAAAATCTATTGGCTTTTAGAGTTTCTCTTTAGGCACTTGCTTTTTACTATGTGAGGTCATAAGGGGGCTTCAGAATGCATGGGCTGAAATCTTTTAATCCTTTTCTCTTGCTGATAGTTTGTTTGCTTGCTCAAGGAACTCTACCATGTGGGATAAGAATATTGTCAATATTCAACCTTCTTCCTCTGCTTTTCTGTTTATTGAAGTCTTCCTCAGAAGCTATTCATTTCTATCGCTTCAGACATCACTTTTATGCTGCTTCTTCATTGGTTTCCATTTCTATTCTCCCTACCTGCTGTATATTTTTACTTGAATTTTCGGTGTTACTAAAAATTCAAAGCTCTCTTATATTCCTTATTTCCAAAAGAGTTACCTACATCTTCCTGGTTTCTCATCTTCAGAAACTTAGAGTCACTGTTAACTTGTTCTTCACTCCTAATCCTGTCAAAAGTTAACTATCTTCCAAAGCTCACACTAAATGTTAACCCCATCAAAATATCTTTCCTGGATCTACCTGGTCCCAGAAAGACTCTCCTATTTCTGATAGCAAATAGAATTTGGGGTACTGCATTTAGAGTTCTTATCATATTGTTTTCCCTATAGTTATATATGTGCATTTCTTTATCTTTTCTCATGACTACATTTTTCTGAAGGGTATATATGAGTATAATGAAGTCTTTCAACATTGAGCAGAATACCTTACTTATTATTCCTTATGTTACATAATTCTCAAGAATTTTGAAAGAGTTCTTATACTTATCAAATCATTTGATCTTTGCAGGATGCAGTAGATGAGTGGGGAAGAAAAGTGAAGACTAGAGGGTTAAAAACACTTGGCTAAGGTCACACAGGTAGGAGGTGAAGGTAATTCCTTGAACAGAGTTAATCTGACAGAGTTTGGTACTTTTTCTGATGTATCGTGCCTCTTGTAGATATAATGGGTTGCTGACAAAGAGTGACTTAGTCTGGTTTACTTTATATTATAGAAGAGAAGTAAAGATAATACTTTAAACTGATCTAACAATGTACGTAATGGATTTTTGTAACAATAGCTATATATGCATGCTAAAAATATATCCAAAATGTTAACTGCCCAAACTAAAAAGTGGTAGCTGGCTATAAGTAAATATCAACCAATTGGTTTCTGTTGTACAGAAACTTGAAACTTACTTGCAGAAGCATCCCAAAATTTTATTGATCCATCTGCATGACTAGATGAGAAATAAATTAGCATTAATTAAAGTATACTAAATAAAAATAATAATCACTCCAAATGTACAAAAACTTGAATTATTGTTAATAAAATTTTGATTCAAAAATACCACTTTAATGAATACTAATATATGCTAAACCATTTCTAAGCTTAAAACAATGGCTCATTTCTTAAACAATATACTAAAATCTAAAGATTAGAAAAAGAACAGTAGTTCCTTAGACTTTACTGTAAAAGATTATATGTGTAATAAAGAGCAATGAAAATGGCCTGTGGAAAGTGAACAACATATTTTCATGTAAAATTATTTATATTCAATTAAAAAGATAGATAATTTTGATATTACTATAAATATTAATTGAATATCATAGCAAAATTAAAGTTCAGTTTCAAAATATAAAAGCAAATCACCAAATATATCGAGTTGCATAATCATTTGGTAATAATAAAATGTCAATTCTATAAAAATTCATCTAGAAAATAGAAGAGGATAAAATACTTCTCTCTTCTTCAATACTTCAATACGTTTGATGAAGTCAGCATTATCCTGACACCAAAACCAGATAAAAACATTACAAGAAAAGAAAATTACAAACCGATATTCCTCATGTGAATAGGCATAAAAATTGTCAACAAAATATTAGCAATATAAATCAAGTAATATATAGAAAGGATAATATATCATGACTGGGTTTTCTTAGGAATGTAAACCAATTAAAGATTTAAAAAAATCAACTACCATATTAAAATTCACCATAATGACAGATTACAAAAGAAAAGCCAATAGTCATCTCAATAAATGCAGAAAAAGCATTTGACAAGATTTATCTTTCATTCATAAAAAACTTTCAATAAACTAGGAACAGAGGAACTTCTATAACCAGATAAAAGATGTGTAGGAACAAACTACAGATATCTACTAACAAACATAATAGTGAAAGATTGAATGTTTTTCCCTAAGATCAGGAACAAAGCAAAAAAAAAAAAAAAAGTTCACTCTCACCAGTCTTATTCAACATCTTATTGGAGGTGGTAACCACTGCAATAGGGAAGAAAAATAAATAAAAAGCATACAGACTAAAAGAGAAGAAACAAAATTGTTTCTATTTGCAGATTATATGGCTATGTAGAAAATCCCAGAGATTCTACAAAAAGAATACTGGAATTCATAAATGAGTAGCACAATTGTAAGATACAATATCAACATACAAAAATCAATTGTATTTCCATTGAATAGCAATAGACATTTGGAAATTTAAGCAACAACATATTACTACTTACAACAGTGCCAAAACCAAAAAATAGATAAAATCTAACATAATTTGTGCCAGATCTGTATGCTGAAAATTATAAGATGTTGACCAAAAAATAAGGCATTAATAAAAGGAGATATAAAACATATTATTGAAAATTGTATGACTTATTAGATATTTGTTCACTTAAATAACATATAAATTCAATGTAATCACAAATATGGTAAAACAATTTTTTTGTAGAAATAAACAAACTGATGGCCATACTGCAGAAAGCAATGTACAGATTCATCACTATTGCTATCAAACTGCCAACATCATTCCTCACAGAATTAGAAAAAATTATTCTAAAATTCATATGAAACCAAAAAAGCCTGAATAGCCAAAGTAATCCTAAACAAAAAGAATAAAGCAGGAGGCATCACACTACTCAACTTCAAACTATTCTATACCTGGCTACAGTAAACAAAACAGCATGGTATTGGCACAAAAACAGACACATAGACCAATGGAACAGAAGAGAAAACTCAGAAATAAAGCCTCACACCTACAACCATTTGAGCTTTGACAAGGCTGACAAAAACAAACAATGAGAAAAGAACTCCTTGTTTAATAAGTGGTGCCAGGATAACTGGCCCTTACTTTTCACCTTATACAAAATTAACTCAAGATCGATTAAAGATTTAAATGTAAGACCTCAAACTACTAAAATCCTAGAAGAAAACCTAAGAAATAGCTTTCTTGTTATCAGCCTTGGCAAATAAGTTATGGCCAACCCCTCCAAAACAATTGTGACAAAACGAGAAATTGACATGTAAGACCTAAGTTCTGTGCAGCAAAAGAAACTCTCAACAGATGAAACATAAACCTACATAATGGACAAAAATATTTACAAACTATGCATCTGACAAATATCTAATACTCAGAATCTGTGAGGAACTTGAACAAACCAAAAAACAAACAGATAACTATTTTAAAAGGTGGGCAAAAGACATTAACAGACACTTCTCTAAAGAAGACATACAAGCCAACAAACATATGAAAAAGTGCTCATCATCACTAATCATCAGAGAAATGAAAATCAAAGCACAACAGGATACCATCTTACAACAGTCAGTACAGCTATTATTAAAAAGTCAAATAGTAACAGATGCTTGCCAGATGGCAGAGAAGAGGGAATGCTTAAACCCTGTTGGTGGGAATGTAAATTAGTTAAACCACTGCTGAAAGTAGAAAGCAGTTGGGAGATTTCTCAAAGAACTTAAAGCTACCATTGATCCAGCAATCAATCCCATTATTGGGTATATAACCAAAGCAGTATAAATCATTATACCTAAAAGGCACATGCACTCATATGATCATTGCCATGCTATTTACAATATAGCACATGGAATCAACCTAGGAGCCCATCAACAGTGGATTGGATAAAGAAAATATGGTACATATATACTGTAAAATACTACACAGTCATAAAAAAGAATGAAATCACATCCTCTGCAGAAACATGGATGGAGCTGGAGGCTATAATCCTAAGGGAGCCAGAACAGGAATAGAAAACTAAATACCACATGTTATCACATATAACTGGAGCTAAACACATAAACACAGAAAGAATAGACACTGCAGACTACTAGAGTGGGGAGGGAAGGGAGAGATGTGGGTTGAAAACCACCTGTCGGGTACTATGCTCACTACCTGTGCCCAGTATGCCCATGTAACAATCTTATACATATATCCCTGAACATAAAATGAAAGCTGAAATTATGTTTTTAAAAGAAAAGTAAAGAAATTAGAATAGTCAAAGCAATTTTGAAAAATAAAAACAAAGCTGGAGAACTCAAACTACATAAGATTTAAGTCTCATCCTAAAGCTACAATAAAATGTTTGTGCTGGTGAAAAACAGACACATACATCAATGAAACATAGTAGAGAGTCCATAAATAGAACCATATGTATATGGTCAACTGATTTATTTTTTGAGAGAGGGTTAGTCACTGAGTGGCTTACTCTACTTTGTTAATAGCTTTATTGAGATATAATTTACATAACTATAAAATTCGCCCATTGTGAGTATACAGTTTGATAATTTTTAGTAAATTTACACAGTTGTCACATTGACATCATCATCCAGTTTTAGAACATTCCCATCATCCCAAAAAGTTACCTCATGGCAATATGCAACCCTCTTTCCCATCCCCAGTAGATTCACAATGATCTACTTTCTGCCTATGTAGATTCTTTTTTCTTAGAATTTTTAAACAAGTGGAACCCACCTACTGTTTTATGTCTGCATCTTTCACTTAGCATAATGTTTTTGAGGATAATCTTTCTTACATGTATGAATAATTTGTTTCTTTTTATTGCTAAATACTCTATTTACCCCTTCACCAAATCATTTGGGTTGTTTTCAGTTTTTGGTTATTACAAATAAAGATGCTATGAATGAATTCATATGCTTATGTACGCTAATTATACACTAACTAGGCATTTTTAAACTTTATTACTAAATTCTGCAGCATGTTGGTCTGAGACTCTATATACCCCAACAAATTTTAATTCTATTTTATTTTTCATGTAATATTTGATATGAAAATAACAATGTATGTAACATAGATTCAATATACTGAATATAATCATGTTGAAACTACTCAACCAAAGAACATTACTAATAATGTGCATCTACAGGTGTGTGGCCTAACAGAGCAGTCCCCAACCTTTTTGGCACCAGGGACTAGTTTTGTGGAAGACAATTTTTCTATAGACAGGGGATGGTGAGAGATGGATTCTGGATGAAACTGTTCCACCTCAGATTATCAGGCATTAGATTCTCATAAGAAGCATGCAACCTAGATCCTTGCATGTGTGATTCACAATATGGTTTGCACTCTTATGAGAATCTAATGCTGTCCCTCATCTGACAGGAGGCAGAGCTCAGGCAGTAATGCTCACTCACCTGCCGCTCACCTCCTGCTGTGTGGTCTAGTTCCTAACAGGCCATGGACTAGTATTGGTCTGTGGTCTGAGGGTTGTGAACCCCTGACCTAACATGTTACTTATCCTGGAACAGGGTCCATGTGTGCTTAAGCAGATTATTTTTCTCCTATTGATAGGTGTAGTGTTTTGTATCTCTAATAGGCCCAATTGGTCTATAGTGTTTTTCAAATACTCTGTTTCCTTCTTGATTTTTTGTCTCGATCTATTCATTATTGAAAATGTGGTATTGAAATATAGTACTGCTACTGTGTTATTCTGTTTCTTTCTTGACTTTTGTCAGTTTGCTTCATATATTATTGTGCTCTGTTACTTTCATATGTATTTGTACTTTTTATATCTTTCTGTTGAATTGACTCTTATTATTTGGTAATGTCTTTCTTTGTTCCTTGTGAGTTATTGACTTAAAGTCCAATATAAATGTGTTCATCTTGTTCTATTTTGGTTACAATTTGCATGATATATATTTTTCTATCCTTTTAATTTCAACCTATGTGTGTCCTTAAATCTGAAGTGAGTTTCCTGGAGACAGCATATAGTTCTACTTTTTTCAATCAAGCCACTCTGTCTTTTGATTGAGGAGTTTAATCCATTTACATTTAATGTAATTATTGGTATAGAAGGACTCACAAATGCCATTTTATTATTTTCTATATGTTATGTGGTTATTTTGATCTTCCTTTCTTCTCTTGCTGGCTTCCTTTGTGTTCTGTTTCGTTTTAGTGACATACTTTTATTCCTTTCTCATTTTCT